CATAACCAACTAACAGTTAAATATTGGCTGCATTATAGACTGAAAGTCGCCTTTATATCATTAGACGTAATTATTTGCTAATCATAGATAATTATGTATCAATCAGAAGATTAAAAAGTAGTTGTTCATATCCATAAATTAGTCCCAAAATTTTACTAAACATTCACATAGTACGCTTGTGGAGAAAGATTTACGCAAACCCTCGCAGCTATTTTAATAAGAATGAATACATATTTATTTGCTTATTTAATTTACCAAAGTAAATTTTCTTTTAATTTCAAACCGATCAATACTTTTTTCCCTAGTCAGCATTTTGAAATATCAGTTGCTCAAATATCTAATTGTTTTGGTGCATCCTATTTTCAGTAAATATCCTGGTGACTGGTCATTTACAATCAGAGCAAAAGGATACATTAAAGAAACTCATTCACGATTAAATTATCTTCTCTTCAGATTCATAATCAAATTACTTTATCTCTAGATTTTCGTTAGCAAAACATATTTTATGCATGGAAAATATTAGAAAGATATCCATACATACTCTCACAAGCCCAGATAGATGAATAGATATATCCATACATACATAGATGCATTAGGGATTTTCAAACCTTTTCAATGAAAAATCGGTGTTCAACTGTATATACCAGTGTTTCTCAAACATTTTTATTTCAGTGTGCACTTGTGGAATAACTAAAACTCTAGGGTACACTTTAAATTTTAATAAGGAAAAATTAGTCATGACATTTGAAAATAGGACTATAATGAAGACATCTGCAATAAGCATTTATTTTTAAGACATTACATTGTATATTTAAGTATGCTTGTGTGAAACTTGTGCTTTGGTATTTTTTTTTTTTTTTTTGTTAATATTAAGCCTCATCTGTGATAAACCTACTCTCAATAGCTTTCCCAAGGAATAGTTTTCATTTAAAGGTATTTATGAAGAATCTGCTATTTTCATTTTTTAGAAAGGCCGATGGTGATTGATTTAAATCCCTTGAGTAAGGGAAAAGGAAAGGATTATCTACTCCTTCTTAAAGATTAAGGAATTTAGCATCCAGTTTAAAATATCATATGACAAAGACATGACTTAAACATGGAAGCAATGTGTTTGGTGTCTGTAGCTTTTTTAAAAAATAAAGATTTTTTTAATATAAAAATAATTCCTAAATTACTTTCCTGTTAACTTAGATTGAAATCCAAATAAGAACGAACGGAGAAAATAAAATTTAAGAAGAAAAAGAAAGCTATTCCTAAAAGAAATTGTTAAAACATCTGAAATACCGTAACATGAAACTATCGAGTCGTGTGGATATAATTAGATCTCAAATGGCACATTTCCTTTTTGTCTGGAAAATCTTAACTTTATAAATTCGTCTTGATAAACTTCCATGATTCGTGCCATGACAATCATAATATCATCAGCTATTAGAACCGTATCCGAAGCTTCCATATATCTTATGCAAGGTAATTATCGGATGATTGTTTAGTCTTCATTGACGTTTCTAACAGAATCTATGATATTAACGTCGTTAATTGATATCAATTCTATGTGTTGGGCTTCGTTGACAATCAAGATACATTAAGTCTCTTCACCACGCCAGAACAATTCCATGTCATTTTTATATTAGTATTGTTGTCATCTAGATGGTTTCACTTCTTGTTCGGCTTTCCATTTCTTCCAGTTTTTTTTGTTTTTTTTTTACGAGGCTTTCTCTTGAGACACTTCCTGGAAATCAAGTAATGATGCTTACACTTGTCACTTCCATATTCCACATTTTTTAAAATTCTTTACGTACGTCCGGGTACCTGATGGAAATTCATGTATTTGTTTACAATGACGAGATCTGCTCTCCTCACTTGTTTGATTTTAAAGTCCCAAAGAATTTTTCTTTGCTATTCTTAATTATTTAAGATTTTTCCTTTTTCCTTTCTTAATTAAACACATGATTTATTTGCATCGTTGAATGCAAACCATCAGCAAAATTTCCAACAGATTCCCTTTACAATTTAGTCATGCCTCTTAAGGAGTATAAAAGATACATGTAATTAATAAAGGATATTTATTATTTTATAACGAATTGTCTATTTTTATTTTGATGTAGTTCGTTCTAATGCATTTTTTAGAGGTTGCTATTACGAGTGATCAAAGTGTCCTTTGTGTAACCATGTCAGCTTTGTCAAATTTATTATCGTTGTTTTTGTTCTGCCGATATATTTTCAAATGTATTTTGTCATTTTTCATTCTGCAGATGTACTCTTCCACCTCCAATAACTGTTTATATTCAAGAGCTCCTGAAGAGAAAATCAATCTTTTTTCAAGTCAAGATCTGTTTTATTTATTTATATATATTTGTTTTAGCTAGTCTCTGGGATGTTACATGAAAACGTAATGTCTCACTTCTTTATTTGTAGCATTCTTTTGTTCGTACTTTCAGACAGTTTACTTTTAAAACAGAAATAAATTGTTCGGCCAACAGCTGCAATATTGACTTTTTGACAACTGACTCTAGACTTCTTTTCTAGTAGACAAACGAAGCACATACTAGAAAAGAAGCTAACACTCACAGGAGAACGAGAGAATCCGTCTAGTTTGCTATCAATAGAACAGACACAATAAACAAATCTGCTATTTTGAATCCTACATTTTCATGGCATATTATTATCAAACGCAATAAGCAATATTTGTGATTCGAATCATGGAATACACGAGTTTTCAAAATTAGGAGTTCTGTTACAGAACACTCTCAATTGTGAGCAACCATACAGTTTTCAACATCATTTATGAAAGAGCCAGAGTTTATGAAACTGATAAGTGAACTACATTAAGAAATTATTAATTTTATGTTATTTAAATCTAAACAACTATAAGAGTTACAAGTTGAATAGTCATAAACTTTTTAAACTTATTGTCCAATAAAAACAATTTCTACTTAAATAAAACTGAAAATTAAACAAAAATATTATTTATTAAAATTTGTATTATTATTTTATTCATATTTTGACCAAAGAAATATGTCTTCTTCCGGTAAGACTGGTAAATAATACAGTTAACGCAATCATTTGTCAGGTTAATTTGAGATTTTCTTTTTCTTTTTTCTTTCTTTTCATATTTTCATTTTTGTCATTGATAAGTGATACCAAGTATTTTCAGTGCTTGGGCATCTTTAATCTTACCGTATCTGAACATTATTATTATTATTATTATTATTACTATTTCCTTCGGTTTCTGTTTTATACACATTTCCTTCTGGGTCACAACCAGAGAATTAAGTTCAGAAAAAGCTTCATGATCACTGATCATTTTTGTAATAAAAAACAAACAAAACAAAAATAAGATCACACACATTTTACATAGATAAAGTTCTTCGTAAGAGAACAATTATTTATATTTCTTTGAGGCATGGGCAACCAGGAATACCTTCAATGAGTCTATCGGAACCTTTTCCAATCCAAGGGCTGTAACTACAATTGAAATTATTGATTTCCTCATGCGTCACATTTATGAGATTTCTACTTCAAGATTCTTGTATTTTGATAGTTTATTTAAAGATCTTCAAAGATAAATTACAATTTGCAGAGACTGTCATGTCAATAAGAAAACACCTTCTATTCTGGTGGTCTTTGAGCACGATGTTTGAGCGATTAGCTTTGATTTTTCTGTCTGTATGTATTCATTATTATTATTATTATTATTATTATTATTATTCAGGGTATTTTCTTAATGTCCTGCTTTGTCCACTCATGTAGCCGAGTCAATCTCCTGGAGTTAAAGCTACCGTTAGGGTGCGATGGTTTTTATTTGATGGATAGAGTACTTCTTAATATGTGAGTAGTACCAAGAGGGACGATCTTCTAGATATCGTTTATCCTGATATTGCGTGGGAGTATGTTTCTATCTCATTCTAAACCAGACTGAGAGCACATATTACCACTACTATTGTTGTAGTATTCATGCTCCACGTTCTGTTAATCTTTATTTCTAGATCTTTATAGTTAGAGAACTTTCTGCAGTTTTACGGAGGTGTTTCCTTCTGTAGAGGAAGACATATCAATGAGAAGACAAGTTCTTTCCTTCTTGCCATTCACTACTATACCATATTTGCGGGTCTTCATTTCTTTGTCAGTTTAGAAGAATTTCCCAGAGAATCAGCTACATCGTTTTCTGTTGTACTTGATGGCTCATGTTCATAGTATCCACCTTTGATGTTATCCTGCGTGCAGATTGATCAGTGGTGCTTTGCTGTTCTTTTCTTGCTATTAAATTAAATTATTATTAAACTGGGATAACAATTGCTATCTACTGATAGTGTTGATGTTCATAATGATAAACATAAGCTTTAGTTTGAAATCAGCTTCTAAATTAAGCTGTTTTTGCTTTCTAAATGTTATGATGAATAGAATTTTAATCCTTTAAAATAAGAATACAGCGCTATAGCCATTGAGCTATGAAAACGAGTGTTGTAGTAATGATGTTGTTATGGCTAAATAGCGTCGTCCGACGAACTGACTTGAGAGTTTTCACAATAATCCCTCAACTAATCTATCAATTCCTTTGAACATTATCTACATCATTAGCAATTAAATTTTTTGTCAACTTGGGCAAACTCGTCCGTGACAATAAGGCGTTGACAGAAAAGGCGCACATGTGATTCAAATCTTCGACCGGAAGAACGTCCCAAAATGGCGACAGTAATATACACAGCAACAGGGTGGTTCAATTTCGGCAATGAATAAGTCAGATATAAATAACGGAAGACAAGAAAATAAAGAAAAATCAGCAACTGAATGTTTATAGGATTGACGCAATTTAGTCTCCATCGCCCACTCCTGATCCGTCTCCAATCCCCATTATTGCTCTTTGTCGTTTATTTTTCTTTCCATCCAGTTTTTTTTTTCAATTTCTTTTTCTTTTCTTTTTCTCTCCACTGTTTATTTACTCATCCATTATTTCTTGTTTTGCTTTGTTCTCCCTTCCACTTTTATTTTCCTATTTTCAGTAAATTTTCCTTGCGTTGTTCGTTTTCATCATTTTCTTTCTTTCTTTCTTTCTTTCTTTCTTTCTTTCTTTCTTTCTTTTCTAATTCATTCTTTCTTTCTTTATTCTTTCTTTCTTTATTCTTTATTTCTTTCTTTTGTCTACTTTCTTTATTTAACCCCATTTCTGTCTTTATAGATTCTTTAAATAATCTTTTTCCAAGATTTATTTTTATTTTCTCTTCAAATTTAAATTCTTTTCTCTTTGATTTCCTTTGGCAAATAGTTTCTTGGAATTATTCAAGTTGTATTTCCTCTGCTGCTTGAGTAATGTCTTCATTTCATCCACTTACTTCCCAATTGATTCATTCGACTCGACAAACGGTGATAGTTTGGCAAACAGAACATTATATTCTAATATAGCACTATATCATACACCTTATTATCGCTATGTGTGTTCATAATATTTATCAAAAGCAAAATGAGTCATTGCCATCACAACGCACTAAAATTATCGCTGGTGGCTTTCAAAAGCTAAACAAAGTAAAGGGTGATCGACTGTTACGTAATATCAATCCTCCAATATAGCAGTGAATGCTGGACAATTTTTCCTCAAAGATGACGATGAAACATGATGCTACGGAGATGTGGTTTTACAGAAAGACATTGAGAATACCAAGGACAGAACATGAGAAACGAGGAAGTTTGAAAGAAAATAGGAAAAAAAGAATAAAAAAGAAACACTTAATGAGGAAAGAGTGCTTGGAGAATTTGACATACAGAAGACTCGATAAAAGCAGGAAGAATTGAGAAATAGAGACAGTAACTTGCCTAGCAATCTCATGTAAATGGATGGTAGAACCAATAGTAGGAGGGATAGAAAAATAAAATAAATAAAAATAAAAACATCGCTAATAGCTACAAAGGACAGGAAGATATGGAGAGACATGATCGTTTACACCTTGAAGGGACACGGTACATAAAAGAAGAAAACTGTATCAAAGTCATCGATAAGCAACAAATGCTGTTACAGCCATTTAGTATTGGTGCCAATTATAGATGGCCAGTGTTCGGAGATATATCAATAAGTAGGTAATTATTAGGTAAATTTTAATCTGAAATATTCACTATATTATATTCGAGCTGTGTGACCAATATTCACTGCTGGCAAAGATGATTACATTGATATATAAAGATTTGTTGTATAAAAAATGTATGCTTTTTATAATTAAACTTATTCTTATTAAATTCAGCTCAATTATTTCGATGAACAAGACGATATATCTCTAGTCGTGGACAAGAGAACGAAAATAATCTATCCCCGTAGGTTAAATAAAGGGTTCAGGTCGAAATTTCCTGAAAGTTATCCAGATCGACATACACCTGATGAAGGCCAAAAAGTACAACGGTCGAAACGCTGTGATAATAGCAACAAAAATAGGGACAACAGTTTGGATGTAAATGATGATAACTCTTCATCCCAGAAATGAAGGCAGAAACAGGTCTCCATGTGATTGCTGTAGGACAAACTTGCTAGTTGCTTGTATTTGTCGATGGTAATAGCAAAAAGCATGCCATTCACTGTTCCAAAAAAAGATTTCACAATGGACTGCCTTGATTAATCTTTTATAGACACTGCAGCAAACTCCCAATTGAACAGATCTATTGATGTCATGGTGTATGTGCAACAGGTGTTTTTTCCTTCTTCTTTTTTAATTAAAAGAAAAAAAACAATTGGCAACATACCATCAGTTGAAACTAAATGGAAATATCACGTTGATAAATAATTGTCAGATAACAAGCAATTAGATATATCTAAGTTATAAAGAAAACTATATATGGTGTTGGGTTAAGACAAGTGTTTTAGTCGTTTATTTATTATTGCCTTCCTTGAACTTTCATTCTTTTCTTTCCTCTTTCCATAACTTTTGATTATTTATTTCTATTCTTTTTTCCTCTCTTGTTGATTTTACGTCTCTATTTTTCTTTTTCTTTTTTATCTTTCATTCATTTACCTGATCAATTTTTCTATTCTTTTTCTTTCAACTAATTGTTGAATTCTTTCAGTTTTCTTCCTTTCGACTTATTTTTAATATTATCCTCTGTTTAATTCTCCATTCTCAACTCTATTTCAAATCCTTTTGTTTACATTCGTTCTATTTCCTGTAATATTAATATTGATCCATTGTTCCTCTACTTCTTGCTTCATTGTTGCTTCATCATGACTTCCATACAATCTCTCTCCCTCGCCTCTCTCTCCCCCACCTCTCTCTTTCTCACTTTGGTGTTTTTCTTTTTCTTCTTTTCATTTTCTTATTTCCGTCGTTGTGAATAAATTTTGTCTTTTTCTTATCGTTTTTTTTGTTTTTCTCTATGATCGTTTTCATTATTTCCTTTTTCATTCTTTTTTTCTTCTTTCCTTGTTAATGTCCTTGTTTGCTTCATTGTCTTTCATTTTCAATCTTCCCTTTTCATTTCTTTCACCAATTCCTTACCTTTCTTTACTAATTGACTTTATTTCTTTTTTTTTTTCTTTCTCAATTATCTTATTCATGTTTTTCATTTTCTCATTCTTTCTTTTACTCGGAAGCTTTTTTTTTATTTCACTTTTTCACTAATTTCTATTCTTTCCTACTTCTTTCTTTTCAGTCGTTCATTCCTTTTCTTAGCATTACCAACTTCTGTTTCTTCCAAAAATCAATGACTAGAAAGTTAATACCAGAATAATGATTTTAAAAACTAAAATACTAAAACACTCGAAGGGCTTTTTTCTTTCGTTCGTTCTTTCTTTCTTTCATTCTTTCTTTCTTTATTTCATTCATTCATTCTTGTATTCTTTCTTTTTTTTTACAAAATCAGTTTGCATTTGGAGATACTGACTATGCCAGTTAAATAGGTTTTAAAAAGTAGTCTCAAAATAACCTAATATCCCTTAGCGTATAACAGTTCATGTCTATAGCCATAGATATTTCCATTTTTATTGAAAAATGGTCTCTCAGAAAGAAGATTTAGGCCTGCATGTCAGCAGTTTGTAATCCCTGTCCAGAAACAATGACTTTATTTCGCCACTGTCCTAGGAAACTCAACTCCACACAGCCTATTCTTCTATATTTGTCATATTTTTATTATTGCTTCTAATTTTCCAAGTAACATACAAAATTTCTGCTTGCGTCATTCGTCATCTCACAAGTTTTCTCAATAATGTTCGCTGTCATTCATACATTTTCGTTGCATATTCGTCGTACTCTATAACATGATAGTATTGATAGTGATGATATCACATTGATAAACTGTATCTGAATAGAAAATAGGAAAGGAAAAGGTTAATCAGCATTGAACGCTGCATTTATTTGACTGTCAAAGAACAAAAACACTAAACACGACAAATATTGAAAGCTGAAAATTGTTAAAACAACTGCCATCGTTGGGGGAAAAAATTTAAATATAGAAAACAAAAGTGAGATTGGAAACAACGTCATTCGATTTCCAAGTGGCAAATAAAAAATGGAATAATGTAGGCATAGATGAACAAAGAAGACTTGAAAAAAGAAACGGAATCACTTAGAGCAACTATATCAAAATAAAAATAGACATCATAAAATAGTAATATCAATCCTATAAATACATGTTGAAAATTAGCTTAAGAATATAAAACAGACCTGGAACAGAAATCCACTGAAAATTGTGCAGATGATTTAGATTCAACGATGTAAACAAATCATAATCGTAAACACCAAAGAACAGAATATGCAAATATAGGACTTTAAAATCGAATAAAATTGAATATCAACCCATGTCAGGAGATCGGCTCACGTCATCGTGGACAAAGACAAGAAACCCTATCAGATTGCTGATGCTGCGTTTCCAGGAGAAACAAAAAGTGACATTGAAAATAGGGTGAAACTGGATAAATATTCCGATCTTACTAATTAATTAAAAGAAACTGTAATACCAGGGTGACAATTGTAGCTATCACTACTTTGTTGCTAGCAAGAGTTTCGAAGGCTTGGATACGCGAACAAGGATTGAAACTATTTCAAATGCATTATTGGTATCAGCATTAATATTAAGGCTAGATCTAGGGTAATGATGAAATTGCTTGTAATTTGATTCGAACAGGAACCACCAAATACTGACGGAAAAATACAGGCTAATAATAAGAATAATAATGCCCAAGGACAAGTGCAGCATGTCCAGTGATAAAAGGGGAAATAGTGTGACATGTCAGTGAAGGCACAAAAAGTATGGTCAGATATCTTCAAGATGTCTTGTGAATATCTGACATCGTTGGGAGTGCGCAAGTGTCAGCATAGAAGAGGATATAAAATCAAGTAATAATAAATAATAAAAAGCTTATGAACAAGCACTCAGAACAAGCTATGTTAAGTATAAAATGTATCATACACCCGACAAGGATATGCGATGATTAAGATGCAACAGTGTGGCACGTTGCCAGTGAATACACGAAGTTGGCACAGAAGGAAATGCAAAAAGAAAGATGATACTGTTGCAAGAATGACATTATTCGGCATGTATGGATTGTGCGGCAAGTATAAATTGAAGAGGGCAGAAACATGGTCAGAATATGTCATTGAAAATGATTAGTACAAGATTTTTTTTGATGTTATGATCCAATGTAACAATGAAGTGTTACTCATAAGAAAATTATGTTGGTAGAGAAAGAAAAAACATTCATCATCATCATAGATATTGCATGACACGAAGACGATAGATTAGTCGATAAAAAGATGAAAAACAGAAAAACTATGATAGTTTAAAATGGGAAGTGTCCAAATTGTCGTCATAATATAGAATTAATAATTAATAATTGAAAGTATTGGAATATAGTTTTCTTTTTAGAGTAAAAAATTCGTTATTATAACCCTAATTTTATGTATCATTTTTTTAATGAAATTGTTTCCACAAGTTAATCTGGGATAATGTCATGTTATTTCCGAAAGTTTCAAGAAATCTGATTTTGACTTCTTATAAATGTTATGAGAGTCTTCCCCAAATTGTTAAGTTCATATTTTGCTTTACTTTGTCCTCGTATTGTTAATCGTCGTTGTGAACTCAAAATGGTGTACCAAAAGGTAGTTTTGTAATTATACAGAGCTATGCTTACTGAGGCTAATTAGACAGATGGATATTCGGTGTTCT